AGGGACGGGGAGGTGGAGAGGTGACTCAATAGTTAAGAGCACTCAGTGCTCTGTGGAAGACCTGGGGTTCAGTTCAGACACCCACATGGTGGCTTACAACTACCTATAAGTCTAGTTCCAAGGAATTCAATGTCCTCTTCTGGTGTCCACATTCACATGCCCTCACATGTTTCAAATAAATAAATTCAGGCCCACACCTATACACATATTTATTTATATAAATAAATCTATCTTAAGGAAAGAAACAGGGACAATATAGATATAAGATAGATAAGGGAATTTGAACCAGAAAAATTGATACTAGACTCTGTTCACTTCTTACCAATCAAGTCCAATGTTAGCCAGTACTTTTTTTTTATATTTATTTATTTATTATGTATACAATATTCTTTCTGCGTGTATGCCTACAGGCCAGAAGAGGGCACTAGACCTCATTACAGATGGTTGTGAGCCACCATGTGGTTGCTGGGAATTGAACTCAGGACCTTTGGAAGAGCAGGCAATGCTCTTAACCGCTGAGCCATCTCTCCAGCCCCCTTAGCCAGTACTTTTTAATTTATTTTTCTTTTATTTATCTTCTTCTCATTCATCTATTTTAATCTAAATTCTCCACTGTCCAACTGAACTAGTAATAGAACACAGTTCAGAAAGGTGCTAGAGGGGAACCATAATAGCAGGAAGCAGTGAAGTATGGTGTTAAAAGCATGTCTAATACAGGCAGATTGCCGAATACTCATTATTTTTCTCCAATGAGCTGTCTGAATTTAAATAAGTTTTCTCTGCTTATAATTATTCCTCATTTGAAAAAAAAATAGACATCCAAAGGAAGTCATGAAATTCAAATGAGGCGGTGCAGATAATAATTGTTGGCACATTCTATTTACTAAATGTTCGCAATTAATACAATTACAGAATATGTCATGTTGCTAAGCATTTGCTTAGCAATTTTAATTCTAAAGCGATATATAATACATTTCTCAATAAGAGGCCCAGAATTCAGAGCCGGATGTGTGGACCCAAAGCCTAGCTCCACCCTTTAATCTTAATTAAGTTCAGCAGGGGTTCTCTATCTAGAGTTCCTCATCCAATGCAGCTTCCTACCTTGTAGCACTTTATCAGCAATATTGCAGTTGACAAATGCAAAGTCATTAGGATAGCAGTTGGCACAGAGTATATGCTGTTCAAGTACTCACTGCTGGCTGATGCCGTTGTTACTTTTGTTTCGACTGCTGCGGATGTGCTGTACATGTTGGAATATCATAGTGACGGCACAAGCTCAGCCTTGTCCACATGCATTGCCCAAGATCTGGATAGAAAACAGGAAGGTTCTAGGCTGGGGAAGCATAGCCAGGACCCTCTCTAAAATAGTCGAGACAAACTTACTGATAAATAAGTAAGGCAGGCTATAATCCTGAACAGCTTTATACTCCAGATTGTAGCATCTGTCATTTGTACAAAATGTCCTATGAAGTTTTGCTAAATCCTAGGATTACCTAGTGGGATCAAGTTGAAATATCTGTGAGCTGTTTGAATTATGTAATGGCAGGGATTAGGGTAGTCCTTGCTGGAGCCACAGGATGTGTCTGGGAGCTTGGTTTCTAACAGCTATAAAAACAATTTTGGAGCTCTCTAATGTCCCATGACTTGGGCAACTGAGAAAAGCTGGTATCCTGTTAGAAACAGTAAATTCTACTAGACAGGGAAGCTGTGATCCAAATACTATCTATTTGGGGCATATTATCACCACGCCACTTGGGAGGCATTAAACCATGTAATACAAACAGTACCACAAGCACCTAGGACTCAGGAAGAATTTGTCTTGCTGTTTCCGAAGGCCCAAGAAACCTTAGAAACTGCCTTTCTATGGACAATCTGTGAGTGAAGCAAGTTCAAAAAAGACAGAGTGATGAGCACAATCTAAATGAACAAACAAAACTAAATGCTGTAATTGGCATGATGGTTAAATGCCAAATGAGTAGCATTTAAGAGCCTTCATAGTTAGTATTAGAATTTATACAACGGGAGCCACAATAGCTAGAATGTCTAATCAGAGAACATTTCTTTAGGGAAGATTTTGTGACTTTGACAATGAAGGCTAGAAGGACTGAAATAGAACTGACTGGGAAGAAAAGGATACATTAGAATGAGCCCAAGTAGATTTGTGGTTTGTATGAGTGCGTTAGCAAGTACTTTCCTACCCTAAATGCATGTTAAATTTCTAGAGTCGGTGGCAATGTAAATTAAAAACATATTGGAATTTGTCTTTTCTTTACATTTGACTTGCTTGGACAGTTTAAGTTGCAAGAGTCAGTAAAATTTGAGGGTTTATAAAAAAAGATTTTAAAGGAGCACAAAAGCGCAAGGCCTAGGCCAGCCTCGTAGGGTTGGAGCTTTGCAGTTATTTAATATAAGGCTGACTTTTCTAATTTTACAGTTGCAATAATTGAGACTGAGAGAAGCTAAGTGACTTGCCCAAGGCAAGTTAGACATCTAGGACTCAAATTTAGATATTTGTATTTATTCATATTCTTCTCACTGCCCCATGTTGTTTCATGGCCTTTGCTACCCATTCTGGTTGGACTTCCTGAGGCTGTAGAGGATTCCTAATCATTTCTATCATATCCCTATACTTAGATTATCACTAATCTGAAGCCTGAAAACTCCTATTGAGCCCTCTATCAGCCACAGAGAGAAAAAAATTAACAGAGAGTTTTTAACAATACGTCATTCTAATCCCTGTTCTGCTAAAGACATAGAATATTTCCTTGTTCCTTTGTCATACATAAATATGTAAGCATTAAGATATTATGATTAATGCTGGTAAAGGAGTCCCATGGTCAGGCACATACTTAAATTTTAGGAAACTTGCCAAAGGCACTTAAAATTGAAAGTGATTGTGAAACACAAGTTTGGTAGAGGGGAGAAGTAATTGTTTGTACAAAGGTTAAGAACCAGGAAGTTGTGGTTGTTAATAACTTAGGACAGCCATTATGCAGTGTGCCGTCCAGATCCACCTTTCCAGGTGTGTATATGCCATGTGATCAACTGTACGGGAGAATTCAAACCTTACATCCATACACTCTCCCATATCATTCTCCTTTCACCTATTTCAGTTTGTCTGACAGTGCTCAGTTTTTGAGCATGTATCTCCCAAAATGTTCCTGAGAATTTGAAATCCCTTCATGGGAGCCACTCCATTCTTTGGGCCAGGACTAAGCTTGTGCACCTCAGACGTGGTTAAAACAGGCCTAAAAACTATTAGCCTTCTCTGTGCAACTGGCCTCCGTCTCTCCTGTGATCTTTGTTTTACACATACCCAAGAGATCTGTCGGAGCCTAATGGCAGGGGTACCCAGTTGATCAGAACCTATATGTATTCTCACTTTATTTGTAGGCATAATAATTATAGCAGCAAAAAGAACTCTGTGATGGTTATTGTGATGGTTATTGGCTGCAAAACAGTTAAATAGTACCTGCAGTTTCAAGCTTGAGGATTTGAGATTGACAAATCTGTTGAGAATAATTCAAAATCAAATTTACAATACCTAGCATATATTTCCTCCCATGTGGCATTCTGCATATCTAATCGGAATGCTGTTTGTTAACCCCTAAACTGTCATACCACTGTGCAAATAGACATATTTTGCCTAATATGTCAGTATTGTAGTATTTAGTGTCCATAGCTGGGTAAGACCCTTAATTAATTTACTACTGTGCTATGTAGATATTTCAAATGACACAAGCTAGAATCATCTGAGAAGAGGGAAACTTCAGTAGGCAAAGCAATGTGCAAACCACTGTGAGCAATGCAATCTCTGGGCAAGCGGGCCTGGGTTGGACAAGAAAGGTAGGTGAGCAAAGCCAGTAAGGCAACATTCTTCCATGGTCTCTGCTTGAGTTTCTGCCTCCAGGTTCCTGCCTTGAGCTCCTGTCCTGGCTTTCCTTGATGATAGCCTAGAAACCAAAGAAGCCCTTTCGTCCCCATGCTACTTTTGGTTATGGTGTGCATCCCAGCAATAGAAAGCAAAGTAGGACATGTTCCTTTCCATTTCTGACTCACTTCTTCCATTTTCTCCTCTACTCTTGAATTTGCTATATGTCATTGTCATATGTCCTTAGAAGTTTGTTATTTTTCTAAAATATATTGCATTGTTTTATATGTTGATTGTGGAAAAATAAAAATCAGTTTACATGGAGGGTAAATGAAGTCAATGATGAACACGAGGTTTAAAATGACAGTGTTTGGGGGTCTTAGCTTTGTATAGAGTGGAAGGCTCACCAATACTTGATATGTCATTAAAATGCAAATAAGTAAGTAGAGAAGGAAGAGCACTATGTACAGATTTAGGATGAGTCTCATTGACTAGAATTAGAATTGATCTACTTCTATATAGATGAGTAAAACAAAAGATAGTGAACACTGTATTTGATCATGAGATTCATCTGTGTTGGTATATGTACTTTTTGCCCTTTTTTAGCCACGTTTCCTGTGAAACTAACTCTTGTCCAAAAACACTAAACATTAAAACACTCTGGTTAACTCTTTCTATCCCAACAGTCTATGACCTTCTAGTAACTCTCACCACTGAACTTTCACTTAAAACTTTATTCTCAGTATCCTGCTTGAGATTTTCAGCACATCCCAGCAAGTTCATTTTATGCTTCCGGTAATTATGCCAAGTTCTTGGAAGATGAAAAATTCTTTCCTGATAGTGCTTTTGTTGCATACTGCTTTCTACTGCTTACAAGCCGTTTGCATTCCAGTGATTTGTGCTGGGGTTTGAAACAGTCTTTGGATGCGAGTCATCTCTTAGAGCACCTACTTAAACCAACTTGTCAGTGTCCAACTGGTCATCTCGGTGCATGTATTGAAACTATAAGATCTCCATTTATCTTCCTGAATAATGACAGTGTTTGTGTTCTGTTGTAACCAAGTACCACCCCTGCTGGCATCTGCTCTACCTATACTTCTGACAAAATAACCTCTTTCATCCAACCTAGGACCTAATCCGGAGAGACATCCTATATTACAAAGGCCGCATTGACATGGATAAATATGAGGTGATTGACATTGAAGATGGCAGAGATGATGATTTTAATGTCAGCATGAAAAATGCTTTCAAGCTTCATAACAAGGAAACAGAAGAAGTTCATCTGTTCTTTGCCAAGAAACTGGAGGAGAAAATACGTTGGCTCAGAGCTTTCAGAGAAGAGAGGAAAATGGTACAGGAAGATGAAAAAATTGGTAAGTGCCCTGAGAGCAGAAAGAAAAATATAATTGTGAAGAACCTTCCAGAGAGGGATACAATTGAGTTCTTTCTAGAGTCAAAGGGAAGATTTTTGGCGCAAACTGACCTAAATCACTATGGTGATTCCTTATCTTTGTTAATACCAATGGGTATGGTTTATACATTGATCATACCTAATACCTATTTCCAGATAGAAATATTATACCACAATCCGGTTCCAAACTCAATTCTCCTACTACCACACACATATATATTGGCAAGCAAACACAAAGGAGTCATGAATCCTATTCTGTAACCTCCATAAATTCATAGATCTCTCTGTCTTTAGGTATATAAGGAGGACATGTTTATGAACTGATTTGTCGATGGAGATTTGGTAGAGTTATACCAATTAGATGGATAGCTTGCTTTGTCTGTGTTGCCAGGAATAAATGCCAGGACCTTGTTCATGCTCGCCAAATACGCTGCTAGTGAGTTACATCCCCAGCCTTCAGTCAACTTCAAAGGCAGAAAGTAGAAACAATTCTAATGAAGGCCAAAGCAAGGTGTGGTAGTTTGAATGTAATTAGCTCCCATAATCTCAGAAAGAGTGGCACTATTAGGAGGTGTGGCTTTGTTGGAGTAGGCGTGCCCTTGTTGGAGGAAGTGTATCACTGTGGAGGTGGACTTTGAGGTCTCATATATGGTCAAGATACCACCCAGTGTCTCAGTGTCTCCACTTCTTGCTGCCTTCTAATCAACATATAGTCAGCACCATGTCTATCTGTGTGCTGCCGTACTCTCCACAATGATGATAATGGACTGAACCTCTGAATTGGAAGCTGCCATCTCAATTGAATATTTTCCTTTATAAGAGCTGCTGCGGTCATGGTATCTCTTCACAGAAATAGAGACCCTAACTAAGACAGAAGTGATCTGGTTTTATTCAAAACCTTAGGACCCTTTCAAATTACAGGTTTATTTCATTTTTATACTGGGTTCTGAGAAGCCCAAATTACACGTACACATCTTGAATTACATTCATTTTACCAGTGAAAATTGATGTCTGACAGAGTTAAGCTATTTAGGCCTCCTCTATTAAGGTGGCAGTATTAGTTCCTGGGACAAAGGCATGTGAGTATTTAATTCTTGTAAAGTTACTTCATATATTAACTTATAATTAAAACAATATGCACTTAGTCATCATACTCTAGAACTATTTAAAAATAAATTAGAGAAAATACAAAAATATCAAAAACTATGAGCACTCATTTCATTTAGATTCAGAATAAAACATCCTTTTTGGATTGAAACAGTTTATGTGGCTGTGGTTTTGTGGCTATAGATTTGTAGCTTATTAAATACTACCAAATATCTTCCTCAAAGTCCTATTTCTGTAATAAAAATATCAGTCAAATACAATGCTTCATTCCTGTAATTGCAGTACTCAGAAGGTAAAAGCAGGATGATTCAAGTTCAAGGTCAGCTTGGGCAGCATCATGAAAGCCCACCTGAACTGTAGTGGGAATTCATTTTAAAAAATGAAGGGCCAGGGATGTTCCTCAAAAATAGAGTACTTACCTGAAATGCATTAGCCCAGCACTGAGGGAGAGGCAGCAAATAAGATAAATTAACCTTTCTGATTCCTAGAAAAGTTTTTTGTTTTGGTTCATGTTTACGTCAAATACAATTGATGAAAATGTCTAATGTTCAAGGCTGCAGAAATTGCCTCTAGAAAAATATGCTTGCTTGTTGAGTTCTGGCACAAAAGGGTTCTTATACCATGATAGGGACCGAAATGGCCCAGAGTGAAAGATAGATGGCCAGAAAGACAGGGTATTTTTTTTGTCTTCCAGTATCTTAAAGTCCACCTTGAAAACACACTTAGAGTTTTATTAGAGTAATTATTTTAAAGTACAATCACTGCATTGAGACATGATGTAGAATGGTATTGAGATACTGGCTGTCAGGCCTGTCGATGGATAGTCTGAGTTCATAGATCCTGCATTAATTAAAAGGTCTCTGCCATTCCCTGTGCCTCTAGCACCTTATCTCCCATACAATGCCCTAGTAACTTGTGCCTTCAAAGATCTGCTCTTTTTTTGTCGTTGTTGTTCCTGAATGTGGAAAAGATATTTTTATTCTTTCTTTCTTTCTTTCTTTCTTTCTTTCTTTCTTTCTTTCTTTCTTTCTTTCTCTCTTAAAGATTTCTGTCACTTCCCCACCGCCGCCTCCCATTCCCCCTCCCCCCCTCCCCTCCCCCTCCCTCGTCAGCCCAAAGAGCAATCAGGGTTCCCTGCCCTGTGGGAAGTCCAAGGACCACCCACCTCCATCCAGGTCTAGTAAGGTGAGCATTCAAACTGCCTAGGCTCCCACAAAGCCAGTACGTGCAGTAGGATCAATTTTAAATTTATTTATTTATTTATTTATTAAAGATTTCTGCCTCCTCCCTGCCACTGCCTCCCATTTCCCTCCCCTCCCCCCCACCAAGTCCCCCTCCCCCGATCAAGTTTCCCTCCTCATCATCCCAAAGAGCAATCAGGGTTCCCTGACCTGTGGGAAGTCAAAGATCTGCTCTTAATGAAAAGCTTTTGTAAATTAGTTTCTGACAGGCTTGTGTCATCTTTGTCTTGTTTTTAAATATGTATTTATATGACTTTTCCCCCAGCCTGATTACATTAAGTTAGAAAATTGCAGAAAATATTGAGCAACAAACAAACAAAAAAAAACACACAAAAAGGTGAAAATAATAATAACATACACTGTAATATTGTAAATGTTTTGATATATTTCATTCTAGTCTTTTTTACTTCTATTTAAATAAAACTGTGAGAATTTCTGACTTTCTCACACACCTATTTCTATAAATGCAATTTTTATACCATTTTTCATTTCATATCATTTTATTTGCATTTCTACAAACCATTTAATACTTTATGGCTGCCATGTATATTTCACATAATTTTATTGTTTTGTGTGTAGATTTAATTATAAATCTTGGCCATGTTAAGCATTTAAATCATAGGAGAAATATATAATGCATTATTTGCATTTCCTCTCACTCTTGTTTTAATATTAATCAGAATTTAATAAATCCTGAATAAGTGACTAATTTTTATTAGAATATTAATGAACAATTTCATGAGAAATTGCATAGTTGAAATTTGTATGATTTTTTATAAGTGAATAAAGAACAGCTTATTGGATAGTGTTATAAGCTGAATATTTGTCAGTATACTTTTAGCTTATTAAAAAAGAAAACACTATTAGGAGTTTTTATCTTCTGTCATACAGTACATCCTGACTGCAACCTCCCCCTCTCTCCATTCCTCCTAGTTTCTCCCCCAGATCCACTAAAAGAGTCAGAGGCACCCCCCTTCCCACTGTTAGGAGTCCCACAAGAACACCAAGGTTCAGTGGTAGAATCTTCTAGGAGATATTGAACATTAATAATTTGCTGTGTTTCTTTTCATACTTATCCCAAGCATTCTATCTTTCGCCTTCTCTCCTTTTTCTTCCTTCCTTCCTCTCTCTCTCCTTCCCTCCTGCCTGCCTCTCTCTCTCTCTCATACACACACAGGCACATATGTGTGCACTTTCAAAAATGTGTTTTACATATTGCTTTGCAATTGGTCTTTTAAACTAAATTTTTTCTTGCATAACTAACTAGGTATTGAACCTTCTATACTTCCTCACATCAGTTGAGCTTCAAGTAGAGAAGCATACCAGGATTACTTTGAAAAGCTTTGTTAGAAGGAATTGGCTTATGTGATTGCAAAGGTTGGACAACTAATTTCCTACATCTGAACAGAAGGCAGTCAGGCATGGAAGGTCATGAGTAGAGACCAAGTTGTCAGGTACAAGACAAAGTTAGTAAGAGAGAAGATCACAAGAAACATATTCTACAGGTAGAATTTCTTCCACCGGATACCTTAGCCTTCTTTTATAAGGGCTTCTAACAGATTCAGTCAAGTTCATTCATATTATGTAGGATACTATCCTTTTATATCTCTGATTAGGGGTTTTTATTACATCTGGAAAATTCCTTCATGACAATCCCTATATTTGTAAGGAAAATACTCTAGTCAACTTGCTACATCTGTAATAGCAGCACATACCTCTCTTTTAATAACTGTATAATACTCCATATGGAGAAGGGGAGACCATTCTCCTTTTGATAGACATTCAGAGTGTGTATCCAACTATTTTATTCTTTTTTACACTTATAATTATTATTTTGTTTTATTTACGGATGTTTTGTGTGCATGTATATCTGTGCACCATATACATGTCTGGAGCCTGCATAGACCAAAAGAAGGCATCAATTCTCCAGAAACTGTAGGTAAAGACTATTGTGAGCCACCATGTAGATGCTGGAAACCCAAACCAGGACCTCTTCAAGAGAAGCTAGTGCTCTTAACTATTGAACTCTCTCTCCAAACCCTTATTTCTAGCTTTTCCTCTGTGAAATATATTGCTGTAAAATATATCTACATGTATATTTCATTATACAGTTTTTTTATTCCTGTAGGATAGACATTCTAAAGTGAGATGAATGAACATGAGTATGCATAAACATAATATGTATTTAGACATTATGTATCAGAAAAGTTAAAAGTCTACCCCTCAATATGATTTTGTGCTTATTTCTTCAAATCCACACCAGTACTTCGTAGTATTTACTTCCTTTAATTTGTTACTTCAGTTACTAAAGTTCAGCTTTACTTAGCCATGTAATTGCTGTTTGTTGACAAATTATTTGTGAAATTAACACTGAATACTCTTTACCTGTTCTTATTTTTATTTTAATTGAAAAATCATAAACTTTGTCAATCACAAATGGATTTGCAAATGCTTATAGTGTGTGGGCTACTGGTAATGAATGAAAACAAAACCTGCCGATTTTAGACTGTATTTATTTTTAAAGAGGAGATAGAAGAGGAAGCAAATGTATACATTTGAGCTCTATGTAGGTCACATATATGTTTATATTTTATGGAGCTTTTTTATTAAACATGCCTACAAAATCATATATCCCAACTTTTACATATTATGTTCTCAAAAATTGATTTAATTTTTAGGCTCGCTGTTAGTTCAGTAGTAGAACACCTGTCTAGCATACATCAGACCCTGTGTTCTATCCCTACTTCTGCAGGAAGAGGATAGAGGTGAAGGGGGATAAAAAGGAAAATATAAATTGGTATGTACTTTATATTGAAGATAGTTAAGCCTTGTGAGTTTTCATTTTCATATAGTTTCTTCAATTTTATAATTTGACTTTCCAGTTTGTTTGTGGTGCTTAATTTTGCCAAAAGTAATTACTTTAGCAAATGTACCTATTACTTCTTTTTGCCTCCCAAGTTTATTCTGCTTAAGCATATCCACACTACCAACACCTAACAACTTCTGAATTTTTAAAAAAATATATTTAGAAACAAAATTTATCTGAAATTTCTTCTCTGAATATAGTATACAGATTTTATTTTCATTTGGGCGAAGAGGCAATTGCCCAGCAGTAATTTACTAAGTCAACTGTTTATTTCTCACAAATTTCTAGTTTTGTAGACTGTAACTGTCCACGCATACTTAGGTTTGTCTTAGAATTCCCATTTTTTTACTATTCTGGTTGTGAAGACTATACTGATTCTTCTTCATCATTGTTTCTTGGCAATTCTTTGATATGAACATCAAATTCCTTTCTTCTAAATCCAACAAGATACATTTAGGTTTCTGTTTGACATTCTTTAAAACTGAGTAATAATTGAAAGCTTAGAATTTTTTAAAAAGATTTATTTATTTATTATGTATACAACATTCTGCCTTCATGTGTGCCCACATGCCAGAAGAGGGCGCCAGATCTCATTACAGATGGTTGTGAGCCACCATCTGGTTGCTGGGAATTGAACTCAGGACCTTTGGAAGAGCAGGCAATACTCTTAACCACTGAGCCATCTCTCCAGCCCCGAAAGCTTAGAATTTTTATTGTTTCCTCATTCAAAGAGGATGCTCTTTTCTCTTTTAACCCAAGTCTTATTCTTCCCTGCTTCAAGAACATGATTAGTATCCTTCCGATTAGACTGCTTTCCCCTTTATGCACTGATTTTAATAGTTTGCTAGGATGACATTCATAATATTCATAATATGTTCTGTAATTGTGCTTATCTCTCCTTTTCATTCTTGATAGTGAATATTATTTATTTTCTAACATTTTTATTTACTCAGATATATTTTTATAAGGTACATTATAATAATTTGACACATGTGTACAGCGAGTAGTAATCAAATTAGGGCAAAGAACATTTCTGTCTCTTCAAACAGTCACTTTTATGTGTTGAGGAACTGATACTTTGCTAGCCATTTTTAAATGTATTGTGTTTTGATTTGTAGTTTTTCTACCCTGCTAAACAACAGCTAGAACTAATTCTTGTGTTCTGTTTTGGTGCCTGTATTTGAATTTCTTGTGTTTCTCCCCCTACACTGGTCCTTTGAAAATAACACTTTTCAGCAACCATTAGCTTTTTGAAGGAACTTTTAGGGGATTTTTATATGTTTTTATAATTTTTTTAATAATTAATTTTAGATTTTCTACATCTATTTGATTTTCTTTATATATATTCATTATATATGGTATTATGATACAGAAGGGCATTTTCAAGAATGTGTTGTATAGTGATCATACTGCCCTTGTAACCTCTTTTCTTCCCCCTTTTTTACCCCAGCCTCTCTTGTTAGTCCATTGTGTATGTTTTGGTTGATCTAATTTTTTTAACTGAAAATATTATTTTCTGAGTAAACTTTCTTTGAGTTAAATCCTGCATTTTATATGTCTGTATAAAATGCCCAGGTTTTGAGGGGAAATGTTTATAATGTGATTTGACCTATGGGTTCTGTATTTTTTCAGACTGCTATCACTCACAGTGTTTTATATGAGCTTTCTTTGGCCATGCTGGAGTTGGAACCCAGGGTGTCTCCTACTTGGTTGGCAAGTGTTTCTAAAGCTGGGCTGTATACCAGCCCACAGATAAGAATTCCAGTGATAATGTTGTAACCAAGCTGCCATTTCCTCCTTAGAATATGAAAGATTGTTTTCTTTATCCTTTAAGTTTAGGAATTTCAGCCATTAGTCAACATCGTCATGTCTGAGTGCCTGGATCATAGAAGACCTTTGACTATCTCAGCAAACATGTGGTCTTTTTACTCAATAAAATTTTTTGTTGTTTGTTACTTCTTTTCTTCCTTTTGAAACCTTTATTTTTTAAGTATTCATTTTCTATTCTAATTCTCTTATCTTTTGAGTCATTGTTTCCTTTTCTTTATATTTTTGATTTATATAAAGTGTTTCTTCTAATTTACATAATAATTTATTTAAATATTCTTCATATTTTATTTTAGTTTTAAGTTCTGTTCATAACTTTTGTTGCTGTATTCTATAATATGCATCTTTATAGCCAAGTTTTAGTTTGAATTAATTACATTTTAATTTAATTGCATATGTTTGTATATATTTACTAAGCACAATGGAAGTAACAAACATAATTTCTCCCTTCCCCCATGCACTATACCTCTTCCTTATCTCTTTCAAATTCAAAGCCTCCATTTTTCATTCTTTCTAGTCACATGCATATATGTATATATTAATTTTTAACATAATTTTTTATTGTTTCTTTGGGGATTTCACATCCCGCATCCTAATTCCTCTCATTTCCCAGTCCTTCCATATATATCCTTCACCCATATAACCTTCCCCACAGGAATACTAAAAAAGAAATAATAAAAGTAAGATAAAAATAAAAAATGAATAAAATATAAGTAGGAATATTGATTGAAAAACAAACAAGCCACTTGGCTTCCTTTTTCCCATCTCTCTATTGCCTCTTCATTCAACTTAGTGGCATGGGATCTGCTGTGTATCATGCAGTAGATTCTTACTTGCAAATATTCCTTGTGTAATGTGTTGTTGGTCAGGTTCAAGGCCTCTGGCTTCTGGTACACCATCAATACTGGACCCTGACCTAAACTCCTCTCTGACATCCTGCTGTTGCCCTGAGTTATGGAGATGCTGTAGCTATGGTTCTGACAGACCAGTGCCTTCACACACTCCAGTAGGCACAGATGGGGTGGATGTTAGGGAGTGCAACTTAAAGCCCTGGATGTGTGCCTGGGTGTTCTCTGTACAGGTTACTGGGACCAACCCCCCTCAGGTGATGGGTGGGGCCAGCTGTCCCAAGTGGCAGAGTGGGGGATGGGGGAGCGCTCCCCTTCTGGTGTCATAGGAGGTCCTCTATTCCAGAGCCAGTGAGGGGTGGGGCCAGCTCTGCAAGGCCCTCACACCTTTCAACACATGGCCCAACACATGGTTCACATGGGTCCCTGTGCTAACATGGGCAACATACTAATATTTTTATTTCTAAACTAGGACATAAAGTATTTGGTTTCACTATGGCATTTTAAAACGTAATTTGTTGGCCCTCTCCTCCCAGTCTCTCACCCACCTCCCAGCCTCCCTCGGACTTTTCTACCTCCAGTAGCCTCTTTGCTGCTCTCTGTGGCATATCTATTACTTCTCTCTTCCTCAAAACGTCAGTTTCCCGTCTCACAGTTTCTTCTCCAATTTCATGACTTATGCCTATGTACTCACATTAAAATCTAGGCTCCACATACAAGAGAGACCTCTGAATATGTGTCTTTCTGCTTTGGGGCTACCTGATTTAATTTAAGTCTCTACTGCTGCATATTTTCTGCAAGTTTTATAATTTTGTTTTACTCTTAATCTTAATAAAAGTGCATTGTGCATATGTATCATAGTTTTATTATGTATTCATCAGTTGATAGGAGGCTTGGCTGTTTCCAGTTCCTGGGTATTATGAATAGAGCAGCTATCAACATAGATGAGCACCTGTCTCTGTAGTAGGATCTAGAGTCCTTTGGGTATGTGTCCAGGAATTTCAATCTTATGGTAATTCTATTTTTAATGTTTTGAGAAACCTCCATATTGATTTTCATAATACCTACAGCATTTTATGCTCCTACCAGCAGTGATGAAGAGTTCAACTTTCCCCATATCTTTGCCATCATCTTGCTTCAGGAT